TATTGCATTCATCGCGATCATCGGTATGGCCATTGTCTGGTCAGCTCCAACTCAAAATGGCAATAATGATGGTAATGGCCAGACTAACAATGGTCAGGGTAACTCTGGCCAGGGAGGCAGAAGCAACGGCAGGGCCACCACAAGTACTCTACCACCATGGATGACATCATCATCTAGCTCAACTCCAATCACTGATATCGAGATTAACGATACAATTGCCCTCAATTGTACTCTAGTGGACGGCAACGTTGATTGTCTGTACTCGGGTTCAGTTGAGGTTGAGACAAGCTAAACTATAACATCGCGATCAATTTATTAATATCATTTTTTAATCCAGTATATTATATATGTTAAATGTCTTATGAATTTAAGGCAACATTAAGTAGTTTATTTTTACGTAGAATTTGTTTTTATTATTAGTACTTAAATAATTTATTTTACTTTAAATTATTAATTTGTGTATTTAATCAGAAATTGTTATCATATTTAATCAAACCTATATTTATTTATTTAATTAACTTTAATAAAACTAAATGTGTTCAAAACGTATGCATTAATTAAATCTCAGGTTAGATTGTTATTAATAAAATTGAATTAAACTTTTTAACTTTGAATAGACTCAATAGTTTCCACTATTATTATTAATAATTAATTAAAATTATAATAAATAAATATGTTATTGATAATGAAATTTAAATGATACAGCACATTTTCATCAAAGAAAGTGAATTACATTGAGATTATAAGTATGTCACAACAGGTATGCAACATCTACCCCAAAAAATACAGCACAAATCTAAATGCAATTGAGCAATAAATAAAACAACTATGTGAAAGTGAATCATGAAAATAATGACAATTAAGAAACACAGAATACAATAGAATTTATAACCATGATCGGCAAAAAAATCTATTTAATAAAGCATTTATTATAAGTACATCAATAAGTTATTTGACAAAGAGTTATTTGAGTTCCTATTGCTAAGAGTGTGTGAAACAAAACTTCCCTATTACAATGAATACGTGTGTATTGTTTGCAGTGTTGGCCGTATGGCTGGCCATTGGCCGGACAGCACCGGTAGATCAGGCACCAGGGGCTCAGGATCAGGGAAACTCCACTGTACCTGTCAACTCTACAGACACCACGTTCAAACCTGATAACACTACTACTACTACTAAACCGGATCAGCTAAACAACTCAACAGATACAGGAAAAGATGACAAAACTGCCACAACCACCGTTGGTAACTCTACTAATACCACTGGTAACTCTACTACTGAGCCACCGCGACCGACCAGTGCCGACAATAGCACGTCCACTACTGGTAACACTACTTTAATAATAAATACAACTAACACTACATTAATTATACCAAATAATACAAACACCACAATTAAACTAACCTCTGCTGGCAATCCTATCATAACTATAGCCAACTCCGGGTCATCGATGCCGAGCAGTTTGGCGCCAATAGTGGCCAACAACGAGACGTCGAGCACAACCGAGACCTCAACTGAGTGCGGGGGCTATACGGCTAGTACTGAGGGTATGGTGCAAACGGTTACCACGTTTAGCGTACAGATCAATGATAACAATCAAGAGACCGCCACAACTATCTATAATAATAATTTTATATATGGTTAATTTAGTTTTTAGTTAACGTTAGTTAGTATTGTTTTAGTTTAGTTAATGGTATAATACCATGTGCATTTATTGTCATTAATTATTTTAAATAATACTAGTTGTATATTTAATTTATTTTAGTATTGTTTGCGGATTTAGTAATTAAAAAATTTAATTTATTGTAACTGTTGTTTTGTTTAAACGTGAAAGTATTTTAAACTTGTTTATTTTATAACGGTTGAGAGAGAGAGAGCAATAAAAATCATTGAATAAAAAAGTGAGTAAATTTAAATTTTTAAACGATAAGATAACGGATTATAACAATTGATTAATACTGTACTTAACGTATACTGTATTTCAATATTGAGTACATTTTTTTCTCAACCATTGATAGACAGTAACAAAATTATTGATCAAAAATATACAAAACAATAGACAGTATTTAAAAACAGACAATGCGTTCAAATGCCAAACATTTATTGATTATTTTATCCTTCATTTGTTTGTCGCCGGAAATTGAGTGCAAAAAACTCAAACTTGTATTAATCGTAAGTTTCATTGTAATTATTATAATTAGCATTAACTAAACATAACTATTACTAACCATACCAATAGGTGCACCGACACGGAGACAGGAGTCCATGTATTTCATACCCTACCGACCCGTTCAACAACGAGGACCAGTACTGGCCCGACGGCTACAGTCACCTCACGATCGTTAGTATTGCCTGTGATTTGCAATTTGTAAACTTTAATTACATTTTTAATTACTTTCATTTACTGACCGTTTAATTACATTTAATTACACAAAACATGAGCAGAAAGGGAAACAACGGATGTACTCATTGGGCAAATACCTGCGCAAACGGTACGACCACTTCTTGGGCACCAGTCCTCGGGAGGCGTGGGTCCGGAGCTCAGCCCGCGAACGGTGTCTGGAGAGCTCGGCTATGTTGTTGGCCGGCCTCTACCCGCCCACTGACCGTTGGGTCTGGAACGGCCAGTTGGGCCATATCTGGCAACCGGTGCCCATCAAAACCGTCGAGTTTGAAAATGACGGCGTGAGTTGTAGTTTTTAATTAACAATTAACTTATAATTACAATTACATCATTAATTACAACAAGTTTTCACACATAGATGTTAAACCCGGACTCCAACTGTCCGATGGCAGTCCGAGTGATGGCACTGATAGATCGGTCGCCGGCTGTGCAACAGTTTTACCGCAAATATAAGGTATGTTTTCCTTATAGAAATGTCTTAAAATTGTCTCATTTGTTGCCACAAATTGTTGTCCAGCCGTTGTTGGCGTTCATTGAGCAGAAGAGCGGTATGAAGATTGGCCACTACTGGGACGGCAGAGATCTGTTTGACACGCTGTACGTCCAGCGCCAGAATCAGTACTCTTTGCCCGATTGGGTCAACCAAACCGTATGGAAATGTTTGCAACAATTTAACGTAAAGTCATTTGTGTTCGACTCGTCCAACGCTGCCATACGAAGACTCAGAGCTGGTATTTATGGTGATAATTGAGATTATCATGTAATTTATGTTCTCTCTCTCTCTCTCTCTCTCTCTCTCTCTCTCTCTCTCTTCTCAGGTGTCATATTGAAAGACATGTGCGATCGGATGCGGGACTCAATTGATGGCCAGAAATCTAAACACAAAGTTTTTCTCTACTCTACGGTAAATATTATATCAATACTAAAATACTTGTAATAAATAAAAGTGCAACAATTTTTCTATCATGTTTTCTGTTGCCTCTATTTCTATAGCACGACACACAACTATCTGTGTTGCTGTCGGCGCTCAACATCTACAACGGCATACCTCCGCCGTACGGTCTGTACAAATACTTTGTTTGCTAATAACCTAACCTTATTTCCTACCCTTTACTATAGGATCGACTATTATGTTCGAATTATACGAAACCAATTGCGGTGACGATCGCAAGACAAGTGACGGTAAACAACAATTGTCTCAACAATCGCAACAACCAATTGGTCACAGACTGGAAGTGCATTACTTGAATGTCACCGAATCGGAGAAGTCATACCTCCTGGCCGTCAATGGCTGCGCGTTTGGCGCCCGAAACGAGACAATGGTTTGCGATGTGAAACACTTCTTGGATTCGCTGAAGACATTGATTGTCGACAATTGGGACGACGAGTGCAAAGACACGTATTGGAGGCGACTCTTCCGGAACATTGAATTATAGACTCATTTTATATAAAATTTGGTTTTTTGTGAAACAATTTAATAATTTTTTGTTTGTTAATTGGTTTGGTTTTTAATCCAGTTGTAAATAACTGCGGGTTTTATTTGTTGATTATGATTAATCAATGATTATTGTTAACCTGTATTGTGTTTTTGTTGTCAAATTATTGTCTAGTTTTAATTAACGTGCTTTTACTGCCATTAATTATGTTAAATAATACTATCTGTATATTTAATTCATTTTAGTATTGTTTGCGGATTAAGTAATTAAAAAAATTTAATTTTAGTGTAGCAATTGTTTTGTTTGTACGTGAAAGTATTTAAACTTGTTTATTTTTAACGGGGAGAGAGAGAGAGAGAGAGAGAGAGAATTGAGTAAAAACATTCATTTAATAAAATTTTCAAACTATAACTAACGGATTAAAACAATTCATAAATAACTAGTTTACAGATCCCGATCGCGTGCCCGCCCCTAACCCCCCCCCCACTTTGCCCTTACTTAACCTAACCAAACATACTGTAATATAACTAACCCGTTAAGGAGGCGTGGAGGCGGGGCGATACATACTGTAATTGCTATTTAATAATGTTTGTTCAACAATTAAACCCGTGCGCGCGCTTTCAATATCCAAATTTTCACTTTAAAAAACTTAATTTAATTAATTTAATTGTTGTAATAGGGCGAGCTAATTTGCATATTCAATTATTGCGGAATGTTTACAAACAAAAATGGATTATTATATTAATACAGTACTTAACGAACAATATTTCAAAATTGAGTACATTTTTCTTATCTCAACCATTGATAGACAGTAACAAAAATATTGATCAAAAACATACAAAACAATAGACAGTATTTTAAAAAGACAATGCGTTCAAACGCCAAATATTTAGTGATTATTTTAGCCGTCATTTGTCTATCGCTGGGAATTCAACGCAAAAAACTAAAACTTTTATTAATTGTAAGTTTAATTATAATTATTATGATTACTATTAACTAAAGTTAACTATTAATAACCAATGCATAGGTGCACCGACACGGGGACAGGACTCCATGGGTCCCATACCCGACCGACCCGTTCAACAACGAGGACCAGTACTGGCCCGACGGCTTCGGTCACCTCACGATTGTTAGTATCGCTTAGTTTTTACAATTAATTAAAACTTTAATTTGTTTTGTAATTACTTTCATTTACCTTAACTCACTTTTAATTACTTATAATTATTTTAAATCACACAAAACGTGACCAGAAAGGGAAACAACGGATGTACTCATTGGGCAAATACCTGCGCAAACGGTACGACAATTTCTTGGGCACCAGTCCTCGGGAGGCGTGGGTCCGGAGCTCAGCCCGCGAGCGGTGTCTGGAGAGCGTGACTATGTTGTTGGCCGGCCTCTACCCGCCCACTGGTCGCTGGGTGTGGAACCACCAGTTGGGCCATATCTGGCAACCGGTGCCCATCAAAGCTGTCGAGTTTGAAAAGGACGGCGTGAGTTGTAGTTTTTATTTAATAACTATTTAATAACCTTTTAATTTCAATTAATTACAATGAGTTTTACATAGATGTTAAACCCAGACTCTAACTGTCCGATGGCTGCCCGTGTGATGGCACTGATAGACAGGTCGCCGGCTGTGCAACAGTTGTACCGCAAATATAAGGTATGTTTTCTTATAAGAATTGTTGTAAAATTGTTTATTTTTTACCACAAATTGTTGTCCAGCCGTTGATTGGGTTCATTGAGCAGAAGAGCGGTATGAAAATCCGCCACTACAGGGATGGTAGGGATCTGTTTGACACGCTTTACGTCCAGCGCCAGAACCAGTACTCTTTGCCCGATTGGGTCAACCAAACCGTATGGAAATGTTTGCGAAAATTTCACAAAAAGGCATTTGTGTTCGACTCGTCCAACGCTGCCATACGAAGACTCAGAGCTGGTATTTATGGTGATAATTGAGATTATCATGTAATTTATGCTCTCTCTCTCTCTCTCTCTCTCTCTTAAGAATTGTNGATAATAAATATAGTTGCTAACAATAAATAATATATTTTGTAAAAATATCAAATTGTTTGACAAAACAAATCAAACTTTATATAAAATGAGTCTATCTCTCTCTCTCTCTCGTTATTTCAGGTGTTATACTGAAAGACATGTGCGATCAGTTGCGGGACTCAATTGATGGCCAGAAATCTAAACACAACGTTTTTCTCTACTCTACAGTACATATTATGGAAATACTAAATTGTTTACATTTTTACCATGTTTTTAATACCATATTTGTTTAGCACGATTCGCTGCTATCGGTGTTGTTGTCGGCGCTCAACATCTACAACGGCATACCTCCGCCATACGGTCTGATCCAAAACGTTTACCCTAATGTTTTGCTAACAATCTTAACTCTTTTTCCTACCCTCCACTATAGGATCGACTATTATGTTTGAATTATACGAAACCAATTGCGGGGACGATCACAAGACAAGTGATGGTAAACAACAATTGTCTCCACAATCACAACAACCAATTGGTCACAGACTGGAAGTGCATTACTTGAATGTCACCGAATCGGAAAAGTCATACCTCCTGGCCGTCAATGGCTGCGCGTTTGGCGCCCGAAATGAGACAATGGTTTGCGATGTGAAACACTTCTTGGATTCGCTGAAGACATTGATTGTCGACAATTGGAACGACGAGTGCAAAGACACGTATTGGAGGCGACTCTTTCGGAGCATTGAATTATAGACTCATTTTATATAAAGTTTGATTTGTTTTGTCAAACAATTTGATATTTTTACAAAATATATTATTTATTGTTAGCAACTATATTTATTATCATTTATATTTATAAAAGTAAATTATAAAATTTCATTAGGATTTCTATAGATTGATATATAATTTATGGTAATTGCATATAATTTGTTATTTTATATATAAAATAATTATAAAGTTATGGACATGAAAATCATATACAGTACTATTAATACCCTTAGAAATATCATAATATCTATGGATTATCGTTAAAAAATATTTTATAATTTATAATAACACGAAATAATAGAGAGATAAGATAAGGGGATATTGTGCGGATGCCCTTTTGATTACACATGGTTTTACTTGTTGCAATAAACTGTAAACCCTTTATTAAAAGCAAATTATTGGGTATATAAAAATTAAATGTAGATATTTTTGGATGTATTATATTTGATTTTGTGACTTTTATGATATTAGATTTTTTCATTTTTTATTTTGTTTGATATAATTTACTGCAAACACATTAATTTATTGGCTCAATAATTTATTGGCTCTGTATTAACTTTACGAGTGATATTTTGTAGTGTACATAAATAATGTCACCATTTATTATGCCCCTCTGCCACATATACTGCCAGAAAAATATTGTTATATACTGTACGTAATGTATAGGAGAGGGCGGCACCCAATAAATTATTGAGCCAATAAATTAATGTGTTTGCAGTTATAAGCTAATTAGCATCACAGATACATATCTTATAAAAATACATAAATTAAAAATTAATTTGTAATTTAAATTCATATAACAACTCTTATAGTGGGATCAGATCAGATGATTATGGCATCTCTTCTCAGCCAATCATTCAATCAGTGTTTTCAATGGATTGCTAATAAACTGTAAACATTTAATAAAATGAAAATATCTGATTCTAAAATAATCACTTTTATAATATAATTGGCTACAAATTGATGGAGGTTGTTTTTGTGTAGAAATGTTTGTTTATAAATTATAATTTTTAAAACAATAAAAAATTATAAGCTGTAAATTTATTTGAAAAAATTAATGTGAAATTATAAAATATCACATTGAGAACTTGGTGGCTACTTTGAGCACTTCTTTGCAAAATGTACTATGGTAAATATTTTTTATTTATAAAATTCATTCATTAGTTATTTATAGTAAAATATTTTTAATCTAAATATTACCTTGCTTAATTATATTAAAGTTATAGACATGAAAATTTTAAACAAATAATTAGCATCATGATAGTTAGCATGATATGACATTATTTCTTAGCCCACCACTCAATCATTATCTTTTGCTTACAAGTGAAGTATGTCTTGAGCTGTCGGGCCAGTCGTAGACTCATCGCTTGCCATACATAGCCATCACCGGCGGGAACTGCCTTATCGTACGGCACCAGGCATTTGACTAACACAGTCAGGCATAGGCCGTCGTGTGTCGGGACGGACACAGCGTTGTGCTCAACCGATAATACACCGCACGGGATATGATGGCCCATATCTGTGCCCACAAATATCCTCTATGTTAAATGTCATTATTAATGACTCATTATTTAAAACAAATTAATAATATATTGATTATTAACCTGTATAAACATGTTAAGTGTGATGCTCGGGCAGCTTTTGCGGCGAAGGGCGCAGACTGGTAGGTGTGGGTGCGGGCGCCGGGAGACCAACACGTATTGACTTATGTATATAATATGAAAAGTAATAAATTACTGTAAATGTTGCTATATAAAAAATTAATTAACATTAAAAATAATTAAAACAAACTTTTTCTCATTTGAAACCGTGAACACAACCCGCATAAGCATACGATTGTGGGTCCGTATGGCCACTGGCGGTGCTTTCAGCGCCTGGCGCCTACTATGCCATACGGTGTTAATCAGTTTCAATGTCCTGTCCCTACGATACGGATTGTGAGCGTAATTATATAGCTCCGGGCGTGTGAACCATTGGGCACACATTGAATGGCAATCTTCCCATGTCTTGAGTTGGCCGCCGACCACACGGCCGGCGAATGTGAACCTAAACTCTTGGCCGCATAGGCTCTCCACCACTGCCAGTGCCGTCACTGCGATCTCATAACCGGACTCTTCGCACACTTTACGCCGTACGGCAGCCGTGAGTGACTCTCGGGGCTGAGGCTTACCCGCCGGCCACGACCACAGACCCCGGAACCCGGTCTTTGACTCCTGGATGAGTAGCACATCACCTGTTGTCTCGTCAAAGACAATGGCGCCCACCGTATAGTGTAATGTCTGGCCAATTATGGGCTCAAATAATTTGTTTGGTTTTCCTATTAATAAATTAAAAAATTAATTCTCTCTCTCTCTCTCTCTCTCTCTAATTATTGTTTGCGGATTTAGTAAAAAATTTAGTTTATTGTATCAATAGCAATTGTTTTGTTTGAACGTGAAAGTATTTTAAACTGGCTTATTTTAAACGGAGAGAGAGAGAGAGAGAGAGAGAGAGAGAGAACATAAATTACATAATAATCTCAATTATCACCATAAATACCAGCTCTGAGTCTTCGTATGGCAGCGTTGGACGAGTCAAACACAAATGACTTTACGTTAAATTGTTGCAAACATTTCCATACGGTTTGGTTGACCCAATCGGGCAAAGAGTACTGATTCTGGCGCTGGACGTACAGCGTGTCAAACAGATCCCTGCCGTCCCAGTAGTGGCCAATCTTCATACCGCTCTTCTGTTCAATGAACGCCATCAACGGCTGGACAACAATTTGTGGTTAAAAATGAGACAATTTTAGTGCATTTCTGTAGGAAAACTTACCTTATATTTGCGGTACAACTGTTGCACAGCCGGCGACCGGTCTATCAGTGCCATCACTCGGGCAGCCATCGGACAGTTGGAGTCCGGGTTTAACATCTATATGTGAAAACGTGTTGTAATTAATGATGTAATTGTAAATATAAATATAAGTTAATTGTTAATTAAAAACTACAACTCACGCCGTCCTTTTCAAACTCGACCGTTTTGATGGGCACCGGTTGCCAGATATGGCCCAACTGGCGGTTCCACACCCAGCGGCCAGTGGGCGGGTAGAGGCCGGCCAACAACATAGCCGAGCTCTCCAGACACCGTTCGCGGGCTGAGCTCCGGACCCACGCCTCCCGAGGACTGGTGCCTAAGAAGTGGTCGTACCGTTTGCGCAGGTATTTGCCCAATGAGTACATCCGTTGTTTCCCTTTCTGATCATGTTTTGTGTGATTAAACCGTAAGTGAAAGCAATTGACAATTAAATTAAAGTTTTAGTTTAATCGCAAATAACGGGCAATACTAACGATCGTGAGGTGACTGTAGCCGTCGGGCCAGTACTGGTCCTCGTTGTTGAACGGGTCGGTCGGGTATGAAATGCATGGACTCCTGTCTCCGTGTCGGTGCACCTATACGTGTGGTTAATAATAGTTACGTTTAGTTAATAGTAATCATAATAATTACAATGAAACTTACGATTAATAAAAGTTTGAGTTTTTTGCACTCAATTTCCGGCGACAGACAAATGAAGGATAAAATAATCACTAAATGTTTGGCATTTGAACGCATTGTCTGTTTTTTAAATACTGTCTATTGTTTTGTATGTTTTTGATCAATATTTTTGTTACTGTCTATCAATGGTTGAGATTTAAAATGTACTCAATATTGAAATACAGTATACGTTATGTATTAATGAATTGTTTTAATCCGTTTTCTTATCGTTTAAAAATTTAAATAAATGAATGTTTTATTCAATGCTTTATTTAATCTCTCTCTCTCTCTCTCTCTCCGTTTAAAATAAGCCAGTTTAAAATACTTTCACGTTCAAACAAAACAATTGCTATTGATACAATAAACTAAATTTTTTACTAAATCCGCAAACAATAATTTAAATTTACAAATAGTGTTATTTAACATTATTAATGGCAGTAAAAGCACGTTAATTAAAACTAAACAATAATTTGACACAAAATACAATACTGGTTAACAATAATCAACAAATAAAACCCGCAGTTATTTACAACTGGATTAATTATCAAACCAATAAACAAAGAAAAAAAACATTAAATTGTTTCACAAAACAAACCAAACTTTTTATAAAATAAGTCTATAATTCAATGTTCCGGAAGAGTCGCCTCCAATACGAGTCAATGCACTCGTCGTCCCAATTGTCGACAATCAATGTCTTCACGGAATCCAAGAAGTGTTTCACATCGCAAACCATTGTCTCATTTCGAGCGCCAAACGCGCAGCCATTGACGGCCAGGAGGTATGACTGCTCTGATTCGGTGACATTCAAGTAATGCACTTCCAGTCTGTGACCAATTGGTTGTTGTAATTGTGGAGACAATTGTTGTTTACCACCACTTGTCTTGTGATCGTCACCGCAATTGGTTTCGTATAATTCAAACATAATAGTCGATCCTATAGGGGAGGGTAGGAATAGGGGGATTAGGATTGTCAACTAAATATAATCATAAAAGCATTTGGACATACCGTACGGCGGAGGTATGCCATTGTAGATGTTGAGCGCCGACAACAGCACAGATAGCTGTGTGTCGTGCTATAGAAATAGAGGCAACAGAAAACATGGTAGAAAAATTGTTGCACTTTTATTTATTACAAGTATTTTAGTATTGATATAATGTTTACCGTAGAGTAGAGAGAGAGAGAGAGAGAGAGAGCATAAATTACATGATAATCTTAATCATCACCATAAATACCAGCTCTGAGTCTTCGTATGGCAGCGTTAGACGAGTCGAACACAAATGCCTTTTTGTGAAATTTTCGCAAACATTTCCATACGGTTTGGTTGACCCAATCGGGCAATGAGTACTGGTTCTGGCGCTGGACGTACAGCGTGTCAAACAGATCCCTACCATCCCTGTAGTGGCGGATTTTCATACCGCTCTTCTGTTCAATAAACCCAATCAACGGCTGGACAACAAATTGTGGTTAAAAATGAGACAATTTTACAACAATTTTTATAGTAAAACATACCTTATATTTGCGGTACAACTGTTGCACAGCCGGCGACTGGTCTATCATTGACATCACACGGGAAGCCATCGGACAGATAGAATCTGGGTTTAACATCTATGTGATAAACTTGTTGTAATTAATAATTAATTGTAATTAGAAGTTAATTGTTAATTAAAACTACAACTCACGCCGTCCTTTTCAAACTCGACGGTTTTGATGGGCACCGGTTGCCAGATATGGCCCAACTGGTGGTTCCACACCCAGCGACCAGTGGGTGGGTAGAGGCCGGCCAACAACATAGTCACGCTTTCCAGACACCGCTCGCGGGCTGAACTCCGGACCCACGCCTCCCGAGGACTGGTGCCCAAGAAGTGGTCGTACCGTTTGCGCAGGTATTTGCCCAATGAGTACATCCGTTGTTTCCCTTTCTTGTAAGTAATTAAAAGTGATTAAAAGTAAATTAAAGTAATTACAAAATAAATTAAAGTATTTAATTAATTGTAAAAAATAAGCGATACTAACGATCGTGAGGTGACCGAAGCCGTCGGGCCAGTACTGGTCCTCGTTGTTGAACGGGTCGGTCGGGTATGGGACCCATGGAGTCCTGTCTCCGTGTCGGTGCACCTATACGTGTGGTTAATAATAGTTATGATTAGTTATGTGTATTCGATGATAATTATAATGAAACTTACAATTAATAAAAGTTTAAGTTTTTTGCATTTAATTTCCAGCAAAAGACAAATGACGGCTAAAATAATCACTAAATGTCTGGCGTTTGAACGCATTGTTTGTTTTTAATATTGTCTACTGTTTTGTATGTTTTTATTATAAATATTTTTGTTACTGTCTATCAATGGTTGAGATAAGAAAAATGTACTCAATATTGAAACAAATTATACGTTAAGTATAGTATTATTAATGAATTGTTTTAATCCGTTAGGTTTAGTTTAAAAATTTGAATCAATGAATGTTTTTACTCAATTTACTCTCTCTCTCTCTCTCTGTGTCGGTGCACCTATACGTGTGGTTAATAATAGTTATGATTAGTTATGTGTATTCGATGATAATTATAATGAAACTTACAATTA